GTGTTTGTTCTGTTGATCCTGCTTGCCTTCTGGGAACACTTCAGGGCAGCTCTTGTATCCATTTATCTCTCGCTTTATTTTTAAAAAATTGTGGTAAAATTCACATAACATCAATGTTACCATCTTAACCATCTTCAAGGGCACACTTCAGCGTTCCATTGCTGCGCTGCCGCCCACCACCTCCCTTGGGGCTCTCCCCCTCGCACAACAGCTGTTAGAGGTCAAGGAGAGTGAGAGGACTGGGGCAGTGGGCGGCTGATGTTGCACAGGCGGTTTCTCTTGCGCGAGCACGTGTTCCCTCCTTACAATCATTTTCTCGATCTCATCCCAACCTCTGGTGTTAAATGCCATTTCACAGTGCTCACCCCAAATTTGAACCCAGCCTGAATTTCTTTCTTGGGCCCTGTACTTGTACATTCAATTTCTTTGACCACTCCATTTAGAGATCTATCGGGCCTGACATCGTTATCCAAACCAAACTGCTTTCTGTCCCCAAACCTGCTCCCCCACCTCAACTATAGCGCCCCCACCCCAACATTTCCCACCTTGCCACTCACTTACCTGTTCAGGGCTAGAGCTTGAGGGTTCTTCTTACAATGTGGGGTCGAAGGAACAGGGAGTCCTGTGGTTTGTCTGCCGAGCTGCCTCTAGCACCTAAAATTGCACATGACACAAAGAAGGTTCTTGAAGGCCCTACGTGATCTAACTGTGGCTACATTTTCCCCCGACTCTCTGACTTGTTGCACTGAAGCCATTTGGTTCGACGTGCCAAGCATGTATTCACCTTAGAAACTTTGAAGTTATTACTCTTCCATTTGGGTCTAGAGTATCATTAAGAATATGAATTTAGGGCCCTTCCTGGTGGCGCAATGGGTTACACCACAGTGCTGCAAGCAAGCTGCAGCTGCTTCAGTGCAAGTTCAATCCCCAGGTGACCCACATGGCGCGGCAGACCTCTCCTGACCCACCCGCACTCTCCTCCCCTCAGCAGTATCCTCATCAATCTGCCTGTTTGCTCCCCACTCTGTTTCTGGTGAATCCTCTCACTGTACCTACACTTCTGGCTTCTACTCCAGTTCTGCATGCATAAATAAATAAATCTTTAAAAACATAATATGAATTTAAAAGAATATTCTTAAGAGAATTTAGGAATAGCCAAATTAATATTTTAATAGTCATCCTCTTCCCTCCTACCACCCCCCACACATGGTCATCGAGGTAAATCGATGCACACAGGAAGCAGATCCTCCCTTATTTCTCCCTGGAGCTGTGGTTTCCAACCCCATGCCAATGGGGCGTGGGCCCAGTTACCGGAAATGCCATCCGACTTGAGAACCTACTGCAAAATGGTCACCGGATTCTAATTGGGTGAAAATTTGGTTCACAGGCTGACAGGCCTTAGTGATGTTTCCATAGCATCCCAGGTCTCTGGTGCATGTGCCAGCTGGCTACTGTGACTGCTTCAGGCCCTGGAGGCGGACCTCCCCATCCACCATGTGTCACCGAAGGGACTAGAGTTACCTCTTTTTTGAAAAAGAGCCAGGTTATTGAGGTCTCATGTGACAGTGCAGGAAAAGATAACTAAATACATTTCTAGGCCTCCAAGACCTGCAAAATAATCCATTTCAACACTCATCAGAAAATGACTAATAGACAGGGGTGCTTAATATTAACATTATAACGACGTAACTTTGTTAGACTGCTCTGTATAAAGTGGGTTTTTAGAAACAGGGAGCTGAGTCGTCCACGGCACCTTTGCTGAGCCTGGGGGCAGATAGTGACCAAGTTCACATCCCCTGTGTCTCGTCTGTTCCTGACTTCACTGAGCATTTGCGTCCCACTCCTTAGCTCTCTTTCGAAGGCCTGACTTAGGCCTGCAGGCGCCTCTGTAGCTGGTAAGACGAGCCAGAGGCCCTGGGAATTAGTTACCCTGGGCAGCCCTGAACCAGCAGTGTGGGAATGTGACCCCCTCCTTGGCCTGGGTGAGGGCAGGTCTACGGACGATTAGACTCCTGAACTCTCCTGTGGGGTCAAATGGAAGATCCGTTTGTGGAACTCAAGATCAAATCTTTATTCTCCAGTTTTCCCCAGGAACACATTTAATAAATCACTTGTGCACAAACCCTTACTTCAATATCTGCTCCTAAGAGAACCCAACCATGAAGATGTTTCTAGAACCAGCACCCCAGGATGCTGACAAACAGCCATCTTCGAGGAGTTTCCAGCCTTCTCTGGCCAGTCAGCACAGCTGGGCAGGACTGACAGCCCTTCCCTAATCTCCTCAGCCGATTTTCTCCTGAAGAACCTCAGAAAGTTGAGGCAGGTGACCTCCTTTGCCCCTGTTCCTCCTGTCCCAGTCTGCCTTCTAAGTTTTTGGCATCTGCCTTACTCCTCTGCAAAGGCAAGAACCTCCAGTCCTGCCTACTGAGACGGAACTGGGTCCTCTTCTTTGGAATATTCTCCTCACTGAGTGCCTTTTGACCTTTTAGCTTCTTCACTCTGGCTTCTAAGTATGTTTAAATATTGTTCAGCCACAAACATTATCTTTGTACTGGAAACCTCCACACCCAGCTACCCTACTTTAGTCTTAGTCAAGGGTTCACTTCTCCCTCAGCCCTTCACACAGCTGGCGCTGACCTGGTCTCTTTTTTCTTTAATCAATGTTGTCATCAATTGTTTAAAATTCAATTCTCATACATGTTTTTGAAATCCAGTTACCCTGAAATTCTCAATAAAAAAATTGAAATGAAAAGAAGGAATTGTTTATATTGACTGCAGTGGAAATAAACTAAACAACTATTCTACCAATAAAATCTGCAGGCCAGTATAAAAAATGAAGGCACAATTAAAGTATCTTTAAGAAACAAATACTGAGAGAATTCTTCACAGAACCCCATACCACAGGATCTGAAAGGTATGATTTTTTGGAAAGGAAAATGATCTCCTAAGATATATAGCATGTGGTCATTGAGCTCTCTCGCCACCCAAGCACCCACAGTCCTCCACCACAGTCTCTCCGCTCTCCTGCACCCTTCTCATTCCATGCCCTCTCCATCCCTCTTCTCCCCCTCCAGATGCCTCTGATATATTGACCTGGTCTTTGCATCAGCCTCCCCGACCCCCCAGTCTAGAGACTCTCCTCTCTGAGGTCAGCAGTGCTGTGTGGTTTGCGCTGACTGACCACCCATCTCGCCCACCGCCTATCTCACCACGGCCATGGCCCATCGGAAGCACTCACCACGTGTACTCCAGAAGTCCCAGCCCACTGTTTCTGCTACCTTCACTCCTCCCCAATGCGCCAGCTTCCTGTAACTCTCCGATCCAGGCCTAGACTTGAGGCACCCGCCCTTCCTCTTTTCCTTCCTTCTGCATCCAGTCTACTAGCAAGAGTACTTTTGACTGTTAGCAAAATGTACTTTCAGCCGCTCTCTTTTCTCCTTGCCAATGCCTTTGTTTGGGCGCTGGAGACGGAGCAAGAGCCAACACAGAGACGGAGATGGAGCTTTAGAGCTGTGAGCTAGTGGTGTGCTGGGCAGCCTCTTCAGCTGTGGACCAACTGGGGGTGGGGTGGGGAGAGAGGTGATATCTCCATGTCCTCTGGCCTTCAACTATCAATAGCTCATTTTGGGTTTCTGTCACTTGGGATCAAAGGAGATCAGATCATGCAGCTCACCTCATTTCTTTCCTCCTAGGCAGCTACATTCATGTTGGGTCAGGGTGTGGCCAAGCCATTGCTGCCAGGAGTACTTCCTTCAACACACACAACAGAGGGGTCGCTGGGAGCAAAGGACTGTGGCAAATGTATGGGTTGACTACTGTGGGGCAAGAGATCAAAAATGTGGCTCCTCATTCATCCATGGGCTGATGCCACCTGTTATTTGATGGAGGGCTCACACAGCACGTGGGGTAGCTGGACATCCGGGGAAAGAGAAAGGTGCTCTCAATGCACATGAGCATCTCACTTGTGTTGCCATATGATCTCAGGCATGATGTCTAAACTGAATTTTAATGACATCATTGCTTTAAATGACTAGACCTTAATGGTGAACCCCAACTATCTGCTGACCTCCTAAACTACCAGAAAGTTGCTTGCTTTTTTTTTTTTTTTTTAACTGACCTGAAAACAAGTGGATTGCTGCTATTTGGAATGCCCTCAGCTGCAGGGAGCAGAAACTGACTTCACGGGCTTATCCAAACTGGGGCTTTTTTACTTCGCTGGTATGAGATGGCTGTTGGAGATCGTGCTGTCAGGGACTCAGTGGTGGGGGCCCTTCTATCCAGTGGGTGAACTGTAAGTGCGTCCACTCTGTTTAATCCTTCCACTAAAGGGAAATTCTATGTTACGGTAATTTCAGAGTCAGGAAAAAAGAATGAAATGATGTTAAAAATAATAAGCATGTGTCTGGGGAACTGACAGGATTCTGCTGAAAAAGTGCTCTGCTACTGCTTGGTCCTAGTGCTTGTCACACTTAAAGCAGGGAGTTCCCCTTTCTTTTTTTCATTGCTTGCTATACACTGGGGTCAAAGTTGTTTGCTACTCTCGTCCGGAGCAGCCGGAACAAGGGTTCTGGGTGCCAAAGTGCGCCTGGGTGATCAGCCACCCTTCTGATCTACAGAAAGCGCCATGTCCGATAGTTCAATGTCATCTTAGAATTCTCATCACTTGGCGACCATTCACTGAGGCTGAACAGCAAATAACCCGAACAGCTCCTAAGTCACCAAGCTGGGACAGAAACTGATGTGGTGTCCTGAGAAGCACAAGCGGAGTCACCTCTCTTAATTTTTATTGAACACTCCTCAGTTTCTAGCCTCCCGGTAATAAGGTTAAAGATAGAAACTTTTTCTCCTTCCTAAACTTCACCGTGCCCCTCAGAATATGCAGCCAGCATCTTCTGGAAGATTAGGAGGGCAGTAAGATTCCAGAGCCACCTTCCGGCTGACATTTGAGCCCTGCTTTCAGCACGGTCAAGCCTTTCGGAGGCAGGCAGTGTATGGCTTGTATCAAACTCTATATTTAGGAAGAACAACTGTGAGCTATGACAGGAATTCTCTTTAACACTTAGCCTTAAACTGAGTTCCCCTCCAGCCCCAAGCTGAGAGCAGCTCTCAATACCGGGTGAGGCACGGAACACTTGAGCTATTTCAGCCCTAGCAAAAGCATCGGAATTGAGATCACAGCTCAGAAGACACCAGGAGCCCCTTCCGCCTCCTGAGGAGACGTGCACTCTCGCACCTGGCTGCCTGGGACTTTCCTTAGGCAGTAAACAAGTCCATAAGCAGGTAAGCAGAGGGACCCATCCCAGGCAACTAGACTTTCCAAAGGCAATTCCTTGATACCTAACTTGAAGTGGTTATGTATAACTTTGTAGACTTGTAACTAGTGGGTGTAGCTTCCTTGTAAATTCAGGGTTCATTGGTGATGTTGCTGCTTCTGATTTATAAAGTGCGTATGGTGTGTGTGTGTGGGGTGTGTCTGAAAGAATATTGGACTAAAAGTAGTTTTCATTTATAATGAGATTTAGAAAGTATCCACAGTCCAGATGTGATGCCTGTGACCCTGGACTTTCTGTCATATTGATTCTAGTGGTCAGAGCTATGGTCGTTCAGCTGTCAGCCTAGAAATAATCAGGAGAATTGGGGGCAGAGAAAAACTATCGTGTCAGCTCCTTGGTTATCTAAATGCAAATTATTGCCAGAGTTTTTACACAGGAGAAATTTAAAATGCTTTTCTCCTCTCCCTAAGCACCAGACTTGGCTTCAGCAATAAAGCGCTATTAACACAGACATCGATTAACACTCCAGAACCATCCTTTTGCAAACCCCACTTTGGCCACAGTTTTCCCTATACCCAGCTGGGTGGGAGGCAGCATTTGCATCTCTCTGTGTTGACACCAGGTTCTGAAACGTGCAGATGTTAGACTGCCTTTTTCCTCTCAGTATATTTAAGGCAGAGTCAGTAAGAAGCTAGGCAGTTCAGACAACTGAACATCTTTCTACACCTTTCTCAGGAATTATTTTTAGCTGTAGGACAGAAGATAATTCTCAAGATTGAATTTAGCCATTTAATTGAAGAACAAACAAAGCTCCTGCTCTCCAAATATTGATTATTTTCCTTTGACTCTCTTCTGATTAAATCAGTGATATTTATATCGACAACTTTTTAGTAAGTCAAAGTCTTATTTAGAAATCAGATGTCGGGAGCAAGCCGGAGGAGGTATATTGTCCATGACTCAGCATACAGACCATTAAAGGTCCCCATGGACTTGCAGAATTGCCAGGCAGAGTCAACTGTGCTGAGCTGGCAAGCATTGCCATTGTAACTTAGGCTTTGGAAAAGTCAGTCGATGCTTTGACAGGCTTCCCATGTTTCCAAATCTCACTCAGAACCAGGAGACACAGTGAGGATTTGCAAGAGTACCTTTTAGGATGAAAAGCCTACCCTGGTGTGAGGGCCATTGGGCCTCTAAAGCATGGCTTTCATTTTTGGTCTCAGGACAAAACGTGCAGATAAAGAAGAAAGGTGCATTCTATACTCTACATCCCTAATGGAGGTGAATACAGGGCCAGGGAAACAGCCAGGGAACACTGTCTATTTTTACTCATCAGTGTGCTTTGCCCTGATTTCTCTGCGAATAATGAGGACAGCAGGCTGCAGAACTGATTTACACAAATGTTATCTAGCCTGTTTGCAAGGAATGAGAACTGGGATCTGACCAACTTCTAAAGCTGTCCCTATTGTAGGTTGCCATATATGTTAAGAAGGAATTTGTATGCAAATGAGACTACACCAGAGCCATGCAGGAGACCCCCGGTCTAACTATCCCTTAGGCACAGAGGTCCACAAAAAAGGCAAGCAATCCAGTAGCTCAGTGAAAAAACAAAATCAGACTAATTAAAAATAATCAACACAGTATGGATTACACCACTGTTCAGTGCCTGACTTTTTTTTTTTACATTTCAACCTGCTACTGTAGTCACATAAAAAGCCCTACTTCCATGTTTCAAATTGATGTACAATAAGTTTTTAAAGTTCCCAGGTGATATCAGTTAAACTTTACTTGTACACATACAGAGAATACCATATGCTGAGCTAGTTAAAGTCCTGTGAGAATAACTGCTTTCCATGACTTCTACTTGCAGTTGGGATTAGAAACATTGAAAATTAAGCTACCAGGTTATCCCTGAAATGAAGCTCTGTGTCTTAGATCCTCAAATTAAAAAATGCTTTATTGATTCTTTGACACTGCAGGAAAGATTAACAACCCACTTGTAACATATCATAGCACACTTGATAATAATTGTACCTAGACTCATGTGCATGGAGTCTTTATTTAAACTATCAAAACGTTCAGGTGAAACTTCAACAAAAATCCTACTGCTTTCATGCATGAGACACCAAAGATTAGAGGTATCTTTTACTAATTTTGGAGATTTTTCTAAAAATGATGCCATTGTTTGACTTCATATAATACAGCCCAAGAGTTTGTGTTTAAGGCTCTTTCTCATTGAATTCTCAGATCTTTTATCTCTACAAGTGCTGAGGGCATCGCCACACCAATTGTGACTCTGTGCTTAAAGCTGTAGATTGGCAGAGTTGTTCTGAGGAGGAGGGCGGGGAGAGAGGGGCAGCGCAGGGGACTATGGCCATGGTGCCAGGGGCAGTGGTAGTGGGAATTCTGTGGGGACGACACGGGAAAAGCAAGCAAGCATTGTTAGAAAGTGAACAATGACGTTAGAAAGTGAACAACAAACAAACAAATAAATAAGTGGGGGTAAGTCCTGGGCTATGAACACTGGTCATGAAACAATGAGTGTTTACATCATGCTTTACGGTTCACAGGCACTTTAAGAACATGATGTCATTTGGACTCTTACCACAACCTGCAAAGCAGGTGAAATTTAAGGAGGAGGAGACAGGCCTAGAAATGTTGAGTGACACAGGGGACTGGTGACAAGTGCCACTCTGTTCTCTGCGTCCCTCTGCTCAGTCACAGGTAGCCCAACAATCAACAGAAGAAACCTAGTCAACCCATCTTACAGTTTGGCTCAACAAACAGCCAACTGTGATTCACTGACTGTCACTTCTCCCTTTGACCTACTGGCATTTAACAGGCTGAGTTACAGCAGCACTTGTGTGGGACAACAGGGAGGGCTGGGCCCCAGGAAGCCAAGCCACTAGTCCCCAGCTCTCAGTCCTTGGGGCGCCTCAAGGGTGTGAAGCCATTGAAGCCCTGTTTGCCTTCTGAGACAGCCTGTTAAAGAAGACAAGCAAGGCTTGCGGGCTGAGGGCGTTCACAAAACCCAAACCCAGGCCCTGATGAAGGGAGGACACGGAGCCAGGGCGAGGCTGCCAGTTCCCCACAGGGTCCCCCATGGTGTGGGTGGCAAGAAGAGCTTGCTCTGTAAGGACAGGCGCAGGCCCTCCTTCCCTGGGTGTTCTGAGGAGCAGCGGGGACTGACCACCGGGGCCATGACTTCCCTCAGATCAAAAGTTCAGTTTCAAGAGGCTTCAGAGGCCCCAAACAAAGGTGTTTTATTCCAGCACCCTCTTTGCTTTGCTGCTCCTGGCAGGGGGCAGGAGGGCAGGGCCAGAGATGATAACGCCTTTCAAGTCTCTGATTGCCTATCGTTAGCATCAGGGTGAGGCTTCTCAGCGTTTCTCCTCCTGAATGATTTATCCAGGCCTCTAGTGTTCCCTCTCCCTGAGGCATTCAGAAGGAGCGTCTCTAAGTAACTTTGGAAACTGAGACTGAAAGAATATACGGCCAGTGAAAGGGTGACTGCCCAGTTGAATCATGAGTTACGTGCTAATTTATCAAGCCCGAGAATCTGAATGTGCCACCTCTCACAGTCTCTTGCTTGTTTTTTTAGGGATAAGGCCGCGTGAATATGTCGAAACAGCCAGTTTCCAATGTCAGAGCCATCCAGGTGAGTAGGAATATTTGTGTTTTAACATCAGCTCTGTCTGCTAGCCTGTTTGCTTCGTAAGTCAGGCTTTTCTTGGTGATTGTTCACCTCTAACTGATGAGGGACTTTGAGAAGAAAAGAAAGTTTCTCTTGTAAGAGTCCTAAGGCACAACTGAGAAAGGCTATTCGGCTGGGAAGTTTCAAGTGAGAAATGAGAAGCTGTTTTCGTGTAACTGCAGAATTGTAAGACGAGCCATGTTTATGATGAGAACTGAATGATCTACACAGGTGTAGGGTGTAATTTTTGGATATTTCATGCTCTTTGGGAGATGATTCAAAATTAATTTCCGTTTTTATATCCATTTGAGTTTGCTGACCTCATGATACGGCTTTTTAAAATAACATCCTTTTGCAATCAAGTGTTCTTTCCAAGGCGTGGATATTTACCTTTTAAAGTCCATATGTGATTACTTCGCCTCCTGCTTTGCCGCAAACACATTCTTTGGTTGTTTCAACTTATACTTAATGTCACTCACAAGAAAGGGAGGGGAGACGCAGGCATTTGGGGTCACAAATACAATTATGAAAATAACTTTCGAGATCTGTCTTGGACTCAATACTTCGTTCTTTTTCTTTCTTTCTTTTTCAACACGTGGCTCTTTTTCTTAAGCACTCTGTGTTCGAAGTCTCAAACGGCTGCTACCCTGAGACTTGGGGCCCAGTGCTTTATTGTAAACTCCGTCTCTCCGCTCCATCAGCATGGAGTCATCCATGCTTTCTCCATCGGAACTTTGAAAATTTTCTCCCTGAAGACTCCACAACATGCAGCAGCTCCCGACTAGCTTGGACCGAGGTGCACTCACCATGAGTCCACCCACAGTGGGTGGCCACACCATGGAGGGGGGGGTGTGGTCAAACTGTCCGGTTAGAAGCCCTAGCACACGCCAGTGGTGGAGGTGAGTGGAGGGATGGCTCTTCCCCTGTCATGACTAATACATAGCCTTAAATAGGTTGTATTCTCAAGTGGCAAGATGCTTAACAACCTCCGGAAACCTGACATTGAGCAGAACCCCCAAGGAAGGGCCTGCTGGCAGGGATCCCACACCACACTGCCGTATTCGGTCCTCTGGTGTCCACCCAGTGAGACTGACATGCCCGGACACTGGCAGTGGCTGTGTTGTGTTCCTGAGACCTGGGGGCATCCTAGAGCCACTGGGCCTTCTCTTTTTGCCCAGTGTCCATGGCTGTTAGTAGCATGCACTCTGAAGTCAGACTGCGGGGTCTGCAGCCTTGGCCCAACTGGTGTGGAATCACGGGAAGACAACTTTACCTCTCTGCCTCTACTTCCACATAGGAAAAATTGCATAAAGGCCAAGATGCAGATAAGAGTGTATAGTAATGTAAGTCCTTATTAAGTTTCAACAGTGTGTGTAATAATTACCATTCAGGAACTCGCTCTGTCAAAGTGGTGACAAATAGTACCACTGGGCCACTGCATTTGCAGCTCCTGAAGTGCTAAACAGAAATTTTTCTTTTGATTTTGCAGGACACCAAAGCAGTCTCCTCTCAGGCTGCCTTTGCTTTTTCTTCCTTTTTAAATCTCAAAGTGTGTTGATTCCCCCCCTTGTACTTCCCAGCTTCCTTCAGATCTGCACTCAAAATTTACCAGTATTTTACGAATTTTGACCTTGCTTTATTTTTAGGTAATAGTTAAAAAGCTGCTGTTGGCCATTCTCGACAGCTGCTATTATACTGCAGGAAAACAAAAATCCATCCATGCTAGCGACAAAGGCAATACAGTGGTTCCTTATGGGTGTGGTATTGTCCTTCTGCAATGTATTTTATGCCAGGCAAAAAGCCTAATTTAATGCACCTTCAAAGGGAATATTATTTCTCATGACTAAATAGGGTCTATACTATCTGATATTTTCTTATCATCTCTGCATTAACCTAAAGTAGGGTCCATTAAATAAAATATGAAAGAGGTACAGTATAGAGAATGGTTGATAGCAAGAACATTATCTAGGATGTGGTTTTGTTTGGAACAAACAGAAACTCTGATAAGGGGCTGCCCTCATTTTGTAAATACCACTCAAAGGTCTCAAATGTTCTAGTCAACATACTCTAGTTGTGTCTCCTTTTTAGTAGGGTCGTCTCTCCAATTCAGTGCAGATGTCATTTCTGGGTGCTTACTGTGTCAGACACTGTGCTAAGTGTAGATTGTGCAGAGATGAACTGACACTTGACCCCTGTGTTCGAGGTGCTCATAGTCTCTAGGACTTACTGCCTATGTGCCTTTGGGCAAGTTGTTTATCTTCTATGTACCTGGGTTTCCTCATCTGTCACAGGGGGAATTAAGAACAGTCCCTAGTCTTTAGGGCTGCTGTGAGGGTCAAAGACTTAATATGTATAAATGCACAGGCCAGTGACTAGTTCATTATAATCATTTCATAAATACTAGCCATTATCATTACTCATTAGCATCTAGTTCAGTGGTTCCTAAAATGTGTCTCTTGGACACACTTTAGATTTATGGGATATTGTTAATTAAAGGGTTCCATGATTATGTGTTTGGGAAATAATACACTAGGCAAAGTTGAACTGGTTCTTCATTGAGATTGACTGAACTTGAGCCACTGTCAACCATACTTCTACTAGCCAGGCACTCAGGGAGTTAAATTACTGCACCTATGTGCATCAGACAGTATGGAGTCAAAGGGTTACAAAACCCTGCCTCCATTCACTCTGTAACCTTAGTTCACTCTTAGTTTACCCTGTAAATTGGAGACAATCATCCTACCAATGGGACTGTTATAAGGCATGAACAAATAATATATAGCAAGTGCCTGATTTGTAGCACACAAATTCCTTCAGAGATGGCTCTTCTACTATCCAATAGTACCTGCCATGGCCTTGCTGGCTCTTTAACTGGTCTCCTCTCCTCCCTGGCCCAGAATAAGAGGGTGGTCAGAGCTAGGCCGACCCTTGGAGAAGAGGAACATTTGCCTTTTACATCCACGCTGAAGTAGCAATGGCCTTTGCATTCTAAGGGGGTTCTGTCCATGTCTACACATCTTTTCAGTTGTCTTAATGAAATCTCAGTGAGAGGCATCCAAATATGCTGAAGGAATCAATGGATCCTTCATGCCCCAGAGAGGGCCTTTGTCTCCTAACCAGCTAATAGAGCTCTATACCAGATGTTGGCAAATATTTTCTGTAAAGGATCGATAGTAAATACCTTAGGATTTGCCTATCACTGGGTCTCCACTCCAAGCAACTCAACTCTGCCATTATAGCATAAAAGCAGCCACAGGGGATGTGTAAATGAAGAAGTGTGACTGTGTGCCAATGAAACTACTTACAAAGACAGGTGTCGGGTTGGGCTGACTTTGGTTCTGTATGCTTCAGGTTGTTTGTCAAACCTCACTGTTGATAGGAACAGAGTTGCAACCAAGGTAACATCAGCACGCTAGGCACAATGGATCTGATCCCTCCAGATGAAAGATTTTGACGTGACAGATGGTGGGAAAATCTGATCCCATCAGTGATCTTCTCAGGGAGTCTCATGAAACCAAGTGACCCGGCCAGCGGCAGCACCTGCTCGTCCTTCCCCTTCTCTTGAACACACCCCCTTTCGAGAACACCACAGACCTTTTCTGGGGCTCAACCCATCTGTGACCAGTGTTCTCTGGGTCGTCACTGGCCCATTCCATGCAAAGCATGCTGCATATCTATTATTTGTCCTCTCCCATGAGATCTTCATGGTTGAACTGGAAAACATCCTGTGCCTTGCTTAGCTCTGCTCCGTGACTTCACCCCCACCCTCTGTCCTCATGACCTCAAAGGGGGGCATGGCATTAAGTGACCTCTGAGCTTCTGTCTGGCTTCTAATAGTCTATGAACTTCTTGAGAATAACTTCTAAGGTTATTATTAGGGTGATGATAATAATAGTCACAGTCTCTTCAGGGTTTACTATGTACTTGGCACAGGGCAGTGGATTTCCATAGATTATAACGAAAGGTTTGGAGAAGCCAAAGAACTCACTCAGGATCACGCAGCTTGTGGAAAGAAGAGTCGGGACCTGAACTCAACTTGTTCAGTCTGATCCCAGAGCCCAAGCTTGGAGTTGCTCTGTCTGGCCTCACTGGTTTCCATTCCGCCCTTGGCATAGACACCAAGGCTGCGTGGGTATAGACAACTCCGAGCTTGGGCTCGGTGGGGTTGGGGGGAGGAGACCTCTCCTGTCTTGCCCGCTGCTCCCCTCAGCAGTGGGTTTCGGTTAATCCACCTGTTCTGCTCCCCACTCTGTTCTTGAGGGGTTTCGGTTAATCCACCTGTTCTGCTCCCCACTCTGTTCTCTGGTGAATCCTCTCACCCCCTGCACCTCTGGCCTGTACCCCAGTTCTGTATGCATCAATAAATAAATCTTAAAAAAATGAAAGAGTCCAAGGTTAGGACAAGCCTTGCTACACAGGAGCAGACTGTCACCGCCGCGTGGGTCGGTTCATCGAACACACTTATTAAAGTAGGAATAATGATACATAGTTTTCTTCGCCATGTTATTTAAAATTAAAACATACAAGATGAACTTTCATTGCCTTTTATTTTATTTTATTTTTTTCATTGCCTTTTATTTTAACATAGAGTCAATGCCATGGGGGAAGTATGGGGATGAGGCTGGAGGCATAGGGGTGAGAAAAGTCACCACAGACAGCGTGGAGAACGGAACAGGCCGGCTGACCGAAATACACTGCAGCGGGGAGACAGGACAGGCTGCGCCCTGAGGCTCTGAGGCTCTTTTTAGTGTGTTTTCACTGGCTTTCTAACTTGGGGCGCCCGTTTGCCCCAGTTATCTGCTGGGATATCTGGTCTTGGGAGCTGGCCTTTGAGATAGAAATGTCTTCCAATCTCTGCCTCTGCACTCCTGGGGCTGGGCTGGTTTTTCTGGTCACTGCGTAGGTGTTAGGCTTTGTCCCCAAGGCAGCCTTATCCAGCTTCTTATCTAGTCAAGCTTTCCAAGCCCGCCTGCTGGGCCAGGAGTGAGGGCTTAGTTTTGAGGCCTACTAAATTGGACCCTAATAGTCAAGAACTTTTTTTGTTTTGAGCTTGGAGCTTCTCTTTCTCTTACATAACTCACTATAATGTGTTGTCTATGGCTTCCAATGCCTGTCCCTTTATTTATTTATTTTTTTTAAGATTTATTTATGCATACACCGAAGTGGCTGTGGCCAGTTTTTCAGTGCTGCGCTTCAACCCATTGCACCACCAGGGAGGGCCCCCCTTTATTTCTTTTTAAAGATTTATATATTAATGCATACAAGAACTGGGGTACAGGCCAGAGGTGCAGGGGGGTGGTAGTGGTGAGAGGATTCACTAGAGACAGAGTGGGGAGCAGAACAGACAGACTGAAATGCACTGCTGAGGGGAGCAGTGGGCAGGTCAGGAGAGGTCTGCCACACCATGTGGGTCAGCTCCCTGGCCAGGGATGGAACTCGTGTTGCCTCAGAGAGCTTCACAGTGCTTTAACCAGCTGCGCCATCAGGGAGGGCCCTGCCCATTCCTTTAAAGTGTAGCCAGCATTTGAATTCAGCATTTTACCTTCAGGGGGGGTCCACGGCTACCCCCTGTGGCTATCTTTCCTGGGAACATGAAGCATGCAGTCCTACGCCAGCTAAAAGATGTCAATTTTTGAGGCTGGCATACACTCATACTTCTAGCTCCCAACCAATTGCATGCATTACCTTAATGTGTACAGAACCTTCTTAAAAACTGTTTTCCCCTGGATGGTGAGACTGCAGTTGAGTCATCTGAGAAATCATCGACAACAGAAAGTGTTGAAAACGGGAGGGGGTGGGGGAGGACACCTTTCAGTATGAAACATCATGGGTGAAGAAAGTGGAGGAGCGGGAATTTTCCCAACTTGTGTTGACTGGGAAAATTTTGTGTGTTCTGAATCCATTCCACATTTCCGGAATCCCTAAAGTCAAAGATATTATACATTCTAGTGATATGTAATTTTATGTTAAAATAGGTAGGACTATATTTTAATTGGTCCTGCCTCCTAACTTAGGTTAATGTATCCAATAAGAATCACATTTTTTAATCAGCTATTGAGAATGTAAATACACCTCTTTCTGAATGTCTCCCATGAAGATACTAGAAATTTCAAAATGCCGGATCTTACTTAATTCAGAGAAGAATTAAAACTGTCAGAGTAGGAAAGCAAAGAAAGGAAACAATTACATTGTAAAATGCAACCCTACCGGGTTTCTCGGTGTGTGGCCAGAGAATGGGGGGGGGGGGCTTATACATTCTTCCCCCAAGCAGGAGGAAGGAGCTACGGGGACCTTTGAAAACTGAAGAGAGTCGGTAGGGGGTCATCTGTAACAAATACTCAGTGGGAGGAAACTGCAAGGCCTCCTGCAGTAAAAGGAGAGACTGAGTGGAACCAGAAAGGAGGAGATAACAGAACGATGGCTGTGGAAAGTGCAGTGGATAGGAATTGTCAGTACCCAGTGACTGGCAACTCTCAGAATCTACCCCAGTGGGAAAGATGTCATTGCACTGTAGGCGTGGCATGCAGGGACCACCCGCCCCCATCAGTGTGGGCCAGACAGGAGAACAATACAAATAATTAAGGGAGTGGTGGAATTACCTTACAGGGAATTCTTTCTACTTTCCTTCCCTTGCTGCTATCAAGTGTAGTGTTCATTTCACATCAGTTAAGTCTATTACCAGGGAACTGTATCCTGTTCTGGCAAAAGATGATCTAGTCCATTTTTTCCATCCCCACCTTTGAGGATGTAACAAATGATGTAGAGCTTGGGAGAGTGATGCACCAGGTTTGCCAAGTCAGGGGCATATTCAAACAAATGGAGGTGACTAACCCTCCGCAAGGGGACAGAAATACAAGGGAATGTATTCACACAGAACCCATGTCATGAAGCAGGCCTGATCGTACATCAACTTTAGGTCACGGATGTTAGACTTTTTCTGTTTGCTTATTCTTTCATAAATTTTAGCTCCTATTCCAAACCCATTTGGCTAGTAAATGTCAGGCTCAGTTTACACATGGGGCAATCAACCCATCAGGAAGTCATTTTATTTGTGCTCAAACAGAGCAGGTGAGTGAAAGATAAAAGAATAAGGCACAATTCTCTGGCCAGTGGAATAAAAATGGAAAGCCACAGGTCTACATACGCTATCAGTTCTAGTTACAAGGAATTTGTCTGTGGCTATAATTTGTCATTCAAACATTACTGCCCTACAATTATATTAATGAAACATCTCTCATCGTTTACAAAGCATTCCTGACAGTCCCTTAAGGTGTATATTAGTGATTAGCTGCGTGACACGTTCTCAGGCTGCGTTGGATCCTGTCAATATTTGCTGTCAGAAACCCATTTAGGTTCCTGGCTTCTTGAGTGATGCTTTCAAGGCGAAAACGCATCAAGTCAGTAAGCTAATGGCTCATTTTTCAATGTGACTTTTCTTTGACATCTATTCTGGAATTAATCCATTTTGTGTGCCCCTTTTACGAAGGCCACTGTCAAGGTGTAAGTCTGTAATCTGAGAGCTAGTTCAGTCGAGTGAACTTTGGGCTAGTGAAAAGAGCCCTCTGGAGAGGATTTGATAGAATGAAAAGCTGTGTCCCTGAGGCCAGGCAGCTGCCATTTGGAATCCTGGCTTTGCCTTATAGTTTATGTGACCACGAGCAAACCATAACCTCTTTGAGGCTCGCTTTCTTCCTATCAAGCGAGGATGACAGTACTAACTCAGAAGTGTGTTGTGAGGATGTAAGTGTTGGCTGAATCTCGGGGGTTTTGGAGGTGGATAAGGTGGTTTGTGGTGGACAGAGATGGGGCGTCCTGCATTTCACCATCAGGTTAAGATGCAAGTTAGTCTCTAACCAAACGTTGCCATTCATAGAGGCATTTTTAAAATACACGTTCGTTAACAAGCGAGCAAGAAATCATTCCTGTAGTCTGCCTGTGAGCTAGCTCCATGAGGCCTCTCGTCCCCTAAGTGCTCTGCGTGACCTCCACATGGGGTTTACATGTGCGGCATGTCCTCCTTCCTGTGGGGGGGGGGGAGGCTGGGTTGCTGACCCTAGGGGGCAGCCGCCAGATGGAAATGCTTTTCATCCAGAACGGCTGGAGAACTGCGCACTTCGGGATCACTCCCCAGCTCTGTCTCTGGAGAGGAAAGCTATCCAATTTTTATGCTCTCTTCAGCATGGTGGAGGTTGTCTCTAAAACATCTTAGCTACATAGCTTCACATCCTTTAAACTTATCACTAACAGCCCATTCTGATTCCAATGCTTACTTTGCTATTTCACTTATTTTGGTGTGTCCCTAAATAGTAAAACTTCCGGTGTTGGTGGGGACATGGCGAATAGAGTAGTGATATTGCGAAGATGGGCTTAGTGCTGTGTTACCCCTCACCTCCCAGGAGGACGAGCTTCCAAATAGAACAAAGGAGTCCCCTGGGCTTAAAGTTTAAACACCTGCACATAAAAAATATCATACTGCCTAAGCTAAACTATTTTAAGGTAAATTATTGACACTTGAAAAACGGGCAGAGCAAAGCTGTCCACTGTACGTCAGCATTCATTCACTTAGAGGTGGCCAATGGTTGTCCGATTGGACCCTCAATTTCCATGGAATTGTTGATGGGTCTAGGACTTGGGTGAAGCAGATGGGGTTCTGGGCTCCCTACCACCTTAACTAGAGCGGTTCAACCTCCACCTATTTTGCATTTTAGATAGGGTTCCCTGGCCAAGAGGTTTGAAAACAACTTAAGTAGCAAGGCCTAAGGAAGTGCTGGAACAGCCATAGGACATTCTGGAAAGGAGGACCCAGCAGAGGAGGTGTGACTACCCGCTCCATGGTACATCTAGAGGAACCAGAGGAGGGCTAAGGTTTGGGATGCCATTATGTGTTCTCTCCTCATTTCAGAGAGGGGAAAATATTCAGCACCACAGGAGGGCAACAGCCAGAACAAAATGTCTTTAGAGAATCCCATCCAAAAGGGCTGTATGAAATTACTTGCAGATCTAAGCCTGAGTACCAGAAATCTGTGATAAATGAAAGTCAAATTTGCCTTTACATATTTTTATTCTGTCATTACAGCAATTTTCTTGAGGTAAAAAGCTTTGAAGACGTACTTTTCTGATGCTTTTTTCCCCTCCCAGTGATTAACTGTCTCTGAATGCCACTGCAATTTCTTGAACTAAACCCTCCCTTTGTTCTCTATTAGGCAAATATCAATATACCCATGGGAGCCTTCCGGCCAGGAGCTGGGCAGCCCCCTAGAAGAAAAGAATGCACTCCGGAAATGGAGGAGGTGAGGAAAATTTAGCTGGCTGAGGTCAGCACTCTTTCTCCTGCAAAGTTCTGACTGAGGGGGCGCAGAAGGGGGGTGAGGGGCATCTCCGAAGGACTAGGGAGGGCATGAATGATGTGGGTCATGGGGTCATGGCTCCTGACTCTATGCTGTCTTGTATAATCAGCCAGGAAACACACTGCCCCTTCCCTGTCTTCTGCTGAGTGTAAGTGCCTGGTACAGTTACTTGAAGATGCCAAGTTTAGTATCTAGTTTGTTGATTGATGGATTGTGGTGTGGTGGGGCTGGTGATGGTGGGGTAAGCGTAGTTCCTCAGATGCTTTTGGGCTGGGAACAGTCCCTAGCTTGGTCAGTTTTCATTCTGGCACTTTTATTGAACCAAGTACGATGTATCTAGTACAGCTTCTCATGAGTGATGAACCACAGTGGGAGTGCAGTTAATAAGCACATTAAATTACTTGTGGATTCAAACAAAATGCCTTGGTCTCTGGGTAGTTCCTCTGAAAGGAGGACTTTGCAAAGGAGCCTATCAATTTCTTTATTTTTTCCTCCTTTTAATGCCTTACCTCTCCTCCAAATTCAAATACTCAATCTTCTCAAGTGGAGGTGAAGATTAATAATAAATGCTATAAATACAGATTTTTTCTCCCCGCTTGTTCTGTTTCATCCTCAGTTGTGACTTTTATGATAAAAACTGGAAATTCTGATAAAAATTAAATAAAGCCACAGGACACAGCAAACTGTATTTTATCCTTTTTTGGAAATTGCAAAGGCTTTTTTAACTTTTGCAGGTGACATTTTTGGTATTTGCCCTAGAAGAACACCTATGACTATTTCAAAGTTTCCTAATAAAGCATTGCCTGCCCTGCAGCTAACCTTTCTTTGCTCATAAATAATTCCTGACATGGTCCGAAGTTAGTGGTTCCAGACTCCTATCAGTGGAGTGATGATTTCCGAAGGGAAAAGATGGTGCATTTGAGACAAAGTTCTGGAATTTCAACCACGAAGAGACCTTTGATAGATAAAATTTTGAGCGTACAAGTTGAAAGGCTCCCTCCTTCCCCTCTTTCATGGTGCGCATTCGCTGCTGGGGACTTGAGTAGTCCCCAATCACGAACTTTCTTTCCCTCTGACCCTTGGCCCATTATTTCTGAGTATCTGCAACCCATGACCCCTCCATTTCTCAGAGTGTGAAAAGCCAGTGATCTTATGCATATGGCCATTTATTGGCTGGTATCCAATAAATGATTGCTCATCAGCTCATCTAATTATCCAGTTTCCGCAATGGGCTCCCGGGCCTCTGATTTCCCATTTTATAAGAAAAAGACAGGTAGAGGGAGGTGGAAGGGAGTGCAGTGGGATTCTCCTTCCACCTCCATTTAGCTGACCCCTGCTCTCACCCGGATGACGGAAGTGACGGTTATTTGGGGGCTTTGCCTCTTGGCTTCCTTTTGTGGTCCAGAGAGACCTTGGTTCTTCTTTCCCCGTGGTAGTTTCCTCCATACAACTGTCCTGGTTTCAGTGCTGGAGAAGTACTTTGCTTTCTCCTTTTTTTTTTTTTGTACCTAGTTTGATGGTTCCAGCACATTTTAAAATAGCCAAGAACTGACACAGCCTGGTTTGTGAAAACCTACTTTATGACCAGCCACTTCTACAATGGCCAGCCAGCGTTCTTTGCAAAAGGGAGGGAGGGAGTTATTCACTGAGCTCCAGAGACCCCAGGAGAGCTACACCTTCCTTATGGTGTTTGTGAAGTGTGAGGATGGAGTCTGGGGTGGCATTCCTTACCCTATAAGCAGAAATACATTCTCAGGACTTGTGAGGACTTCTGGAGGGGTGAGATCTACTGATTCAGCCTGGGCGGCACTTCCGAGTAAGTTTCTGTAGTAACACCATTGTAAGGGGATCAGCTACGCCACCTGACTGCACTACAGGGGGTGCAGTAGGCTTCTGTGGGCTCACTTAAGGCTCCACTGCCCTTACTGGCATAGTTTGAATGGAAAAATGGAAACTGAAGTTAAAGTAACTTATATACCCACACTTTTTATTATTATCAAGTCTGCAACCTTGGAATTGTTTACTTTCTTAGATTTGGGATTGCTTGCCTAACCTTGAATTAAGATAATCCCTGCACTTATATGTGGACTATAGAGAAACCAAACAAAGGGTCAGACAAAGACAAACTTTAAAGCCAGCCCTTGAAAGCAGACCACAGATCTGAGGAATGGCTGAGAATGGGGACAGGGGTGAGGAGGGAGAGTCCAACAAACTCTGGTAGAGGATTCTGAGAAGGCCTATACTGTCAAAATATTAATAAGGGTGTGAAACAGTGGTACTTCATTAATACTAATGAAAAAAGATAATCGCTGCATAGAGTGGAGACCATCACACACTGTCCCTGGACAGAACGGGCTACCTTTATGCGCCAGTAGCTCTCCCTTTCAATCTGGACACATCGCACAGGTATCCCAGCAGGAAGCCAGAACAAACCTATGAGCACCTGCGGGGTTTCTGGTCCACCCGTGTTCTCTGTGGGCCCTTTGCTCTGCTTACAGAACTGGGGTGCATGTCAGCGCCCCTCACCTCTGTCCAGCCAGAGCCTGGCAGATGCCCAGCACAGAGGCCTTCCAGCCAAAGCCTAACCGGCAGGGCTGGGCTTTTGCATATGGCAAGGCAGGGGCTTGCTTGAAGAGACTGGAAGAGTATTACAAGCCTCCATCGCCCCGGCCTCCTAAATCTCTTTTTATTAAAGATGTATTTATTTATTTATTTATGCATACAGAACTGGGGTACAGGCCAGAGGTGCAGGGGCGGTGAGAGGCTTCACCAGAGACAGAGCGGGGAGCAGAACAGGCAGATCGATGAAGTACACTGCTGAGGGGAGCAGCGGGCGGGCCAGGAGAGGTCTGCCACGCTATGTGGTCACCTCCGGGGCGGGGATCAAACTCATGCTGAAGTAGTTTTAGCTTCTTAGTGCTGTGCTCTAACCCGCTGTGCCACCAGGAAGGGCCCCTAAATCTCTCTTTTGCCTAAGAGTCCACCGTTACTAAGCCCCAGAATAACACGTTGGCATTTTCTGTTACCTCCTCTCCACGCTAGGTCAGACACAATCATTAACTCTCGTTCCACTGCTTCCTAGCTGTGAGGCCGGGGCAAGTTTCTTAGCTTTCCTTCCTTGTGCCTCAGTTTCCTCAATTATGAAATGGGGATCGTAACAGTACCCGATTTCTATGGTTGATGTGAAGGTTTAATGAGACAGCATGCATGACTCACAAGAGTCAGCAGGGAAGTGTCTTTGGTGTCACTGAAGATTCAGTGTTCAAGTGTGAGCAAGCACACCAGACGGTACTGCCCCACGCAGGGTGGCTTCAGGGGGAACTTCTGTAGGGTATCTGGTAACAAGAGGGAGATGAATGTGAGATAACTGGGAAATGACTCACCATTTTGCCAGATTTCACAAAAACTCGCTTAAACCCAATGGGACCATTTTCCCAGGCAACAGGCATTCGTGAAACAGCAGCCAGTGGTGCCGGGGCTGACAAAGGCTTCTCTTCCGCTCTCTCCGCTCTCTCCGCTCAAAGCAGAGAATGTCTCCCACGTCTCTTCTCACTTCAAATGTCTGCTTACCAAAGAAAAAAACAAATGTGCATATTACTCAAAAGGGGCCATCTGGACCACGGCTTGTTCATGCCTTAATTGATTATAATTCTTATAATAAATTCATAGAAGAAATGGAATCTGATTCCCATGTTTTTAAAAGATGAGAGATTTGTTAAGAATACGCACCACCACAACCCTCCTTCCTGAGCCAGTATCGTAACATCTATGTAGTCAATATAACCACTTATAATTTTCCATTATATGTGACCTTACCAAAGCAAGTCTTACCTTGATAAGTAAAAAAACAGTGTGTTAAGATTTTAATAACTTCAAAGTGCCTACTGTTAAATATTATCATGTTTTATTTGTGTGTGTTCACATCATAAATCTTTGCAGAAAGATCCATAACTACACACTTTGGCTTTGTGTTTAATGTGCCAACATAGCACATTCTGATTTTGCAAAGATAGTGAATGTGACTTACTCGTGAATTTAACAGAAGAAATTGGAAACCATTTTTCTCCTTCATGCTTCTTTATTAAGCTCTACCCACCTAACACCCATGGGAACATCCATAAGTGAAGAAACATTTTTCATTTCACCACTACACATATTAAAAAAAAAAAAAACCCAACACTTTATAGCCTTGTTTAAAATTTCTTTCCAAAAGCCTAGCAAAGAGCATTTTGGAATGTCTGGCCTTTCAAGTGGATGTTTAACAGTTTTAATCATTGCTTCTACATCTGCATTTATAAGTGATGAATGTGGTGACTGAGGCCGACCCAATGGCTCTGCTGTTGAACTGGGGGAGCAGTATTTATGACAGGGAGAGTCTACAGTGAACTGTTTCATCATTTCTTGTGGGTGAAAACAAGAAAGCGATTTCAGCAGCACTGTGCCAGACTCAAAGAAGACAAGTGCAGGGAAAACCATTAGCTTTACTTGAGTCGCACCTTACTATTTTATTTTTCAACTCATCCCCTTAAATAAGCACTTAGAAGTAATTCATTGAAGGAAGCGTCTTCCAAGTAATTGGTCAGACTTTGGGAAGCTTTGATCATTCTTCCCTTCCCTTTAGAGTCTAGCCAGGTCGAGAAGGAGAAGTTAGGAGCCAGATGGTGCCTCAACCAGCAGCATCAGCTTTATTACCTTTAAGTTGTATTTTTTTTTTTTTTTTGAGGTAAGGTTGGTTTACAACACTGTGACTTGAGTGTATAGGATGACACCTCTTCAGATGTATGTCACCACACCACACCCACCACCAAGGTACAAATAATCCTCCACCATACTCCACTGAACTTCAGCTTTAACAGTCAAGTTACAGGGCTGCCTGGCTAGGCTGGTGCAAGTATGGGCATGGGCCTGGCATCCAGGCAAGCTGTAGCTTTGACACCTTTCCTGCCTGGAACCGACTGGTTCGCCCAGTTGTTGGCTGAGCAGACGGCGCCCCACCTATCTAAGGGGGACAGGTTGATTTGTGTTCTCTAAGCAGCACACCCAAAGGTGGGATTCGACCTGCAAAATATTTAGTGGGGAAACACTTGCACGTTAAAATGGGAAGGTGGTTAGACGGTGATGCGGGTGGAGGAGAGCGGGACAGAGGTCAGGCTGATCGCGGGCAACGCGGTTCTAAGTCCCTCAATAGAGCAGTCCCAGGGCTCCCAGGGCTGCTTCTGCCTTAGGCACCTGGACGCTCAGCCATTGGCTGAGAGCGGCCGTGGGAAGCGTGACCTCAGCTGGGCCTGGGAAGGTTTCAAAGCCAAGCAGCTGGAGCCATCACTCAATTACCTCCCTGCAGTAAACTGATCCGAGAGGCGTGTTCTTGCAGCTGCCACAGGGATCAAATGTTCCTCAAACACATTCTTCCAGGGCCGCGGAGAGTGAGTCCGCCACCTTCAGGAAATGGGAGGAACGAGTTAACAAATCACTTTCTTCTGCAGCTAATGAGCTGGAGTTCTAGGAGCCACACACAACCACTGAACTGTTTTCTAGGCTCCGTTGAGATGTTTGGTGCATACACACAGAAGCACAGACACTTCACTAGGGAACATTCTTGGGATTAATCAGTTAAACAGCAACCAAGTATGTGTGTGGTCTGTGTCAGGCATGGGCGGTGCCAGCAAATACAAGCATAAGAGAGACGCTGCCCTGCCACGAAGCTGTAACAACAGGAAAACATTACTAGGAAATGTTGACTATTGATACTTCCCAAGCTCATCCCATCCCACCCACAATTGAAGAGTTTTTGCTTCTGTTGGTTGCCATTTACTTTCTCTTCCCAGTAACGTTATTGGAACAGGGGTTGGCAGCCACTGCACCCCAAACAAAAAGGGTGCAAACCTGCTGGACTAAGTCAATAGTAGCATTACCTTTGGACGTTATTCGACTTGAACTTTTCCCTGGTTGATGTCCATGACCCAGAGAGACCAACTGTGCGTTGCATCTGTTTTTCTCTTTTTCTCTTTAGGGCGCTCCTCCTGCCTCAGATGAGGAGAAGAAGCCGATTCCAGGAGCAAAGAAGCTTCCAGGACCTGCAGTCAACCTGTCAGAGATCCAGAATATTAAAAGTGAACTGAAATATGTCCCCAGAGCTGAACAGTAATTGGCAGAAAATAGGTGAGTGAGAAACTATGTCCTTTGATTCAAAATGACCACTTTAAACTGGCTTAAGAAAGCCTTCCAGAGGAGTCTGGAATTCCAGGCATGTTTATTGATCAGGACCTTCAATTTAGAGCAGTATTTCAGTGCAAAGGTTTTCTTATCCATAAAGCCATGCTTTGGGGCCCATCTTACTCCATAGCCAATAGAAGAGCTACTGGGCATGTTTGCCTACACCCCCATTTCCGCCACCATCTTAGCTGGGGAAGGATGGTGTTGGAGAGGAAAGATGTTCGGGGTGGGGCCTTCGGGAACTTGATCTTGGTGTCTTCATGACATACATCAGCCTCCCCACCCCGATGTCACAAGAGAAACGAGCTATTCCTGTGCCGGAGGTCAGAGGATCACAGAGCTCAGGTTAGGGAGCACAAGGGGTCAGGCCTGGAAAGTGGAATCCAGGTGCGTGGAAGGCAGACCAAGAGAACCCAGAAGTGACAGTGTGGACAAGAAGGGGACACTCAAAATTGTGCCCTCTACCTTACTTTTTTTTTTTATTACCAAAGTTTGTACATTTTTTTCCATCTCAATTGTAATCCCCGTGGGTTTCCCATCACCAAGTCACCCGTCCCCTACCTTACTTTTATTTTGATTGGCCCTTTTCAGTAATGATCCCTTGGTCCCCACTTCACTTGCAGATCTGACACTTGGTATAGGGGTTCTCTCTGGGACGGGCGGGGGGGAATGGGGTACAGGGCTGGGGTGGTGGTGGTGGGATGGGCCCAGGTCATTTCTCTTTCTCTTATGAGACCCTGGGAGTCAATCTGCACGTTATTCGCCATTACTGAATTCCACCATGCAGAATTTATTTCATTTCTTAAGCACAAGTTCAAGTCTAGATGCAAGAAATCTATACTGGCAACATAAAGCAGGTATCATCTGGCTGATCTCCCGTTTGTTTATTCACTCGCACACTCCTTTATTCATTCAGTATATATTACCAATATGTGCTGGCCACTGCTCATTTATTGATCGCTTACTATGTGCTGGACGCTGGATACTGCTTGAAGAGCATAATGTCCATCTCTCACAATCACCCACCTCACTCTCATTCTTGAGGTGGGTCTTGGAAAGAGTGACTCTCCCCATCTATTATCTATCATCTATCATGCAGCCTGCAGGAGGCCTCAGAGCAAAGTCAGTTCTGTCATCTACTTGTCATACAGCTTCACGAACTCTGTAAGGCTCCTCCTACTGCGCCTGACAGACGCATTGCACACTTCTGGTGGGGGTTTAAGGGTGACATCTTCTGGCTGCTTAGATAGCAGAAGCATACGGAAGTGGGGCCCTGCTGTGTCCTGCTCTGTACACCTAAGGCCTTACTAGGGTATTTACCAGTTATTTCTGCCAAAAAGATTTCTTTGTAGAGAAAGGGGAAAATTAACATTTCGGGTTAAAAATCAAAGAATCGTATTTAGTGTTTTCAGCACAGCTACTTAAAAGCACAAGGGTGTAAGAATAAAATGCAGAGGATTCTTTGACCATAGAATAAGTGCCAGGAAGCAGGACAGGGACAGAGTAACATGAAGCGGAACCGACCTGAGCACAGCTGCACAAACTTATTATTTTAACAGATGCCACAAACTGATGGCCGAGTATCATTATATTCAGACGTGCTTGTGTTGCCAGATGGAGATGAAATATTCCAATATGCTGGGGGACAAAGCTGCAGAGCTTTCCTCTGACAAAGCCCGGAGAAGGGAAATTAACTTTTTGTAATATTTATTATCATCAGCCAACCAAGGCTGTTCAGCTAGTTACATGAATTTTAAATGCAAACTTTAAAGGATTTTGCTTGAATGAAATCCATGTCGACCTAAATTTAACCCCAGTTCCAGCTGAACTTGGCTTGGAGGAGTGAGAGGGTTCCCGTTTTAAAATCGGCTCAGTGTCTTGCAGTGTTATTTGGCAGTGAGGTTGATTTTGCAGCCTTGTACCTATTAGGTTATAGCAATCAGGCAGAGTATCAATGCAGTAAGATACTGAAAAGGAACAGAGTATCAGGAATGCATTTTTGTAACTTCATTTTTTCACAGAAGACTTTAATGATTCTTCTCGTCTAAACAATTTCCAGTAATGCAAAATGACCAGAGAGGTTGATTTGTCCTTATTCTAGAGGAATGCGAAAACCTGTGTTGTCAGGGTAATTGATCTGAATTTCAAATGAGTACAGTCTTTGTTTTAAGCCAAGGAATGAATCTTTCTTTCTTGTAGGGAAGGTATTAAGTGGCTTTGCTTTAGAGTCATCAATTCTTCTGCAAATACGTCAGAGTTGGAAACTTCCATGCTCATGGTTTGTGGTCACAGAGGGAGAGCATTTCTTAGCATTGATTGATTCAGTGGACGCATAAGCAATAAAAAGCCTCAGCCGGTCATCATTTAGCTCCTTGCTGATTGTACTGCAAAATGTCCAAGATAAAGGAATGTGGTTGAGGTGTTGAAAAATGTCAAAAGGCGTTGTTCTAATACAGTATGGAATAGGCTGACCTTTCTGGCAATAAATGTGTTCACAATTCCATTTTTATATGTATTACATGGCTTAAGGGTTTGAGAAACAAACAAAGACAGATATCACTAGTACTTTCCACACCTACGTATTTTCCAGCTCAAAAACATACCAAAACAAAAGTCCAAAACAAACCACAATATATACAAAGTCAAGACTTTAATGTATGCTTAGTTAAAACTGTATTTCATATCTCAGTTAATGGAACATGTTGATTTTCAGTTTTGGTGACCTGCGGAGTCTTAATTTGCTTTTAGAGAATTCCATTTCCTAAATAGACATATTTTCTAATAGTGCCACAATCATGCAGAAAATTTTTTGGCAGTAAAGAATGATCTGTTAACACTAAAAAAAGAGAGGATTATATACTTTAAACATTTTTTTTAGATTTATTTATTTATTCATATAGAACTGGGGTACAGGCCAGAGATGTGGAGGGTGAGAGGACTCACCAGAGACAGAGTGGGGAGCAGAACAGGCAGATCGATGAAGTACACTGCTGAGGGGAGCAGCAGGCGGGTCAGGAGAGGTCTGCCACACCATGTAGTATCCTCCGGGGCAGGCGGGGATCGAACTCATGTGGAAGTGGCTTAAGCTTCTTAGTGCTGTGCTTTAACCCGCTGCGCCACCAGGGAGGGCCACTTTAAACATTTTTAGTGATTAAAATTTTAATTAGTGACTTAAATAATTAAATGCAATTATTAAATAAATATTAATAAATAACAAATGTATTAATTTACTGGTCTTTCTTTTAAAATTTAAATTATTTAAATAGTATTTTAATATGAAAACAATTGCATTAAAAAGGAAGGATTGATTTCCTGCCTTTTGAACCACCACTTTATAACCATGCTCACTCACAGCTGTGTGAAGAATGATTAGGTCCATAGCACCAAACACTGCGAAAACCACAAGACTCTAGTCTCAAAACCCAGGTTATGACTATTACAATACTTCAGATATATAAGACTGAGCACTGTCTCCTTCCAGCTGTGATCAGCTCCTCCTTTCAAGTGGGATCTTAATTTTTTCCATGCACTAAATCGTGGCTAGAATTATTCATGGAAATCGGTTAGAAACACTCTGAAACAAGAATAAGAAAGGCCAATGATTAGGCACTTAGGTATCAGGAATCATGGCTGGCCGCAAGGGCTTGGGGCATGGACCTCGTGGAACCAGGACTAGGCCACATACTGGATTAGAATGGGCACGGAACCAGGTGTATGGGCACATTCACCATATGCCTCTCAGCATTCTGGCTTTGACTTAGGGTAGCCCCATGGCGAGTTACGTAAACCTCAGCTTCAGATGCAGGAAGACTCGCAGCAAGGTCTGAGAAGCACGAGCCCTCTGACACTCCCCTACCTGCATGGCCAGGAGTCAGTAGACACCCACGTCTACTGTTTGCTTTGAGCTGCAGCAGATGCCATATCATACCTCCCAGACAGGGGGGCTGGGGACCTGGAGAAATGCTTAGGGCTGGTGTCCAATCGGCTATCAGCCCTCAGATCAGATCACAGGTAGCCAGTACAAAACCTCTGAACTAACCTCTGTACCAAGGGCACATTCTTCATTCTGTGCTAAGATACACAGATGTCAAACTCTGTCCCTGCTCTCAGGATACTTAAGTCTCAGTGGAAAGATAAAATACTTGAAGAGGCAGATAACAAGAAATAGCAGCTCAGTCATTCAAAATATCTCACTACTGCTTATGGCCTACTAGTAAGTAGACAGTAAAGATAACTGACATTATGACTGAGTGGGGGACTCACCATGATAGGGGATTCGGGCACTTTTAAGGAGCTAGCAGGAATGGACCGGTTTAAAGAGAGGTTCAGAGGTGGACATTGCAGTATGGCCAGACAACGTGATGGTGCACTTATGTTCAGAGCATAATTAATGGACCAGTCTGATGAGACCAAACAGTTCTTCTAGGGCAATACTTTCTAAATTTGGGGGGCAGAGTAAAACAAGATCTCAGTCCATCCACATTATCTCTTTCCTTTCTTTAGTGGTTAAAGAACTCAGTGAAATGAATTGGGGAGGAACAAAATAAGTATCAAAGTGGTTACAATGCAGTAATTACAAGAAAAGCGATCAACAAAAGCAAATTCTAAGAATAATTCTACAATTATGTTAATGAACACAAAGATAGCTGCAGTTGAAAACCCTGGGACTGTCAAAGCATTAGAAAGAAATTGTCATTTGCATTTGCAGGACTTCCTGTTTTCTGTGTTGGACATTGCAGTATGGCCAGACAACGTGATGGTGCACTTAAACCAGGGTTTCAGAAAAATGCAAAATTTTAGTGACTCTTAATGACCCGGTAGCTTTTGACCATGTATAAAAGTGAAAGTCTGTGGAAATAATCCCGTTTGGTTTTATGAACTGAGGAAAGCACTTACATTTTTACATCAGGAAATCTTTTGAAGTCAACCAGTAGGCACTGGTCCAT